CCCTGTCCGGCCATGATGGCCGACGCGCCGACCTTCTTTGACCCGTCGGTAGAACGGGCCGTGGCTGCTGCCGGCGGGTGCCCGCACCAATCTCTGCCGCTCAGCACCGCTGCTCCGCTCGTCACAGGAGCTCAGGTTGTCCCTCTACACACCTGATTCCGGAATTCCGGATGGCCGTTCCTCCTCGACCTCCGATCCGTGGCCTCCTCGCTCTTGGACCTCCTGGGCAACAGCCGCAGATAGTTGGACGCCAGTCCGTCCCGGGCACTGATTCGCCTCAGCGCGCTTCTTCTGCGGCGTGCGGCTTTGGGCTCCTCGGCCTTACGGCCGGTCCAGCAGGTGCTTCTTGCTCTTCGTCAAACTCCGCGCTGCGCTCGCTCCCGAAGCGCTCAATCTCGCGCAGCAACTTTGCGGACTACTTGAGCAAACCTTTAAGGACCCGGAACTGCCTGCTCACCTGGCTCCTCCCCCAGTCATGGTAGGTGCCCTTCTTGCTCCTCCGAGGTTTGAAATGCGGGTGGCCCGGCTGAAGCTCCTCTGCGCCAGGGAGGAGCCTCCCTGGCCGCGGTCCTTGGCGCCCTTCGCTGTCGGCGGTGAACCGAAGTACCAGATGTTTCTTTTGCCTGGATCAGAACCGGTTCCCGCTACCATGAAAAGTATCTTACTCAGCTCTAGGTCCGCTGCGGAGCGGACTTTTACTTGAGCCAAAACACAAGAGTCGGCACAACCTGTACAAGCGTATTGGGCATATATGGAGGAACAATTTATAAAAAAAATGGTACAGTCTCAAATGTGACACGCTTGTTCCTAGGTGTGTCCCAGGCGGTTTTCGCAGCTGACGTGTTTCTCTTCAAACCCAATTAAAAAAAGGGGCCCTGTTGTCTGAAGCGGGCCCCGAAAGCCATCATCTCATCTCTCGCTGCGCGATCTCCCTCGCCTGAAGTCCAGCAAGGAGCGGAGACTCACCTGAGGTTGGCGGTGTCAATGGGAACAAGTTGGCCAGTCTGAATTTTCGACAAACCTGACGAAAGCAAGAGCTGTTGATAGAGCGCGCTGGTGGAGCATGCGGACAACACCCAAAGCCTCAAAGGGATGCCCCAATAAATCCCCAAACGCGCTTGGTAAAAGATTGGTTGAGGAAAAACCCAAGAGAGATCGCTCGTGTAGTCGGCCTGGGCTTCCCCCGCAAAAAGTTGATTCAACTTGGCGTCCACCTTGCCACTTACTAGTCCACTTTTGGAGCTGCGACAGAGTTGGAGATCCAGGGGTCCCTTGCCCCAAGAAAGAACACGGCACTTTCTGGACCAATACGAAGAACAATGCAGACTTCCTACATTACACCTGACACATCACCCCACTTGGAGGAAGCTGACTTTGAATTGACTGGCCTTTCCAAAAGCTGATGTCAACAAATAATCTTGACGGCTTACTGGAAATCGACGCACCCCTCCCCCATTTGCGACGAAAATTCTTAAGTAAATCAATACGCTAAATCGAAAACAAGGTAATGACAAGGGCGCCCGTTGCAGAGGGTACCCTTTGCCCAATGGCAAAGAACACCATATGACAACAGCACCCTTGTGGCCGACCGACCCATAAGAAAGCGTTTTCACACAAGCCTGAGACTGATCAAGATGCGACACCACATGAGTCACGTGAGGGATATCCATTTCCACTGGTAGCACGGAAATGAGAAAAATCCACCTCCTTGGGGCAAGTGTGGGATTGCCTTGATGTTTGTGTTGTCACCGGATCCGAACAAAATAAACCACCCCCAAAGCTGGTGGATTGTCTTGCTTCCAATTGAACATCCAACACATGTCCCAAACTGCAGAAACGAGACGAAGCCCGGCACGATCTCCATCTGAAGCTAGGACCAATAGAAGCAGCCCCAGCAAAGACAATCTCCTCAAGCGTGAGGGTAAGGGTACCCTTTTAACCTTGGTTCATAAAGAAACCAAAAGGAACACCCCGATAGCGGCCCCTGTTTTCAGGTTTTTTCGACAGAAGCGATGACAGGCGCAGCACTTTCAGCAGCATGAGCCAACAACCATTGCCAGTGTCATATGGTAGCTACATGACTCCAAGACTTGTTTGTTGAAACTCCAATGTCTTTTAAGTGCTCATGTTCAGAAACCGAGTGGCGAGAAAACACGAAACTCCAGCTAACGCTAATACGCCGCTGTGCAAGAGCAAGGTAAGACACCAATGGACAACTGCTAACTCGCAGGCGTGTGTGCAGTGCCAAGCGGGCTCAGTTGAAACGGGATGCAGGTTGTTTTAGTTCAGATGAGCATGTGCTTCAAGACGGGACCCAACAAAGCGGGGGCGTGACCTTGTTTTTGGGGCATGCTTTTTGGGCACCCTCTTTCCCCCCAAAACTTTTGGGAAATCGGCATTTGGAACACCACCCGCTTTCGACGCCCCATTTTTGGGAGAAATACCACCCTTTTTTTGACACCTCATTTTTGGGGTGTGCTTTTTGGGCGCCCTCTCACCTCTCTCCCCGCTTTGCGGGAAAAGAGTATTTGGAGCACCACCACGCTTTGATACGCTGTCTTTTTTGGTTTGGGGGGGGGGGTAATGCGTGTTGGACATCCCCTTTCGGAGAGGACTCAGCGTTCCACCATCCCCTCCAAGCCTCCCGGAGGCGGGAAACAGCCATAGCCCCGCAAGAAGCTGGACAGCTTAATCTTGGACAAAAAACACTTGGGTGAGCTTCTCGATGGGGAGCTCGCCGAAACTTTTTGGGGGTCAACGCTGGGTTCCTCGCCGAAACTTGTTTGGGGGTCAATGCCGGATCCCTCGCCGAAACTTGTTTCGGCTGAATGCTGGATCACTTGCCGAAAGTTGTTTGGGGGTCAATGCTGGGTCTTGTGCCGAAACTTGTTTGGGGTCAACGCTGGGTTCCTCGCCGAAACTTGTCTGGGTCAACGCTGGGTTGCGCGACGGAACTTGTTTGGGGTCAACGCTGGGTTCCTCGCCGATTTCTTGCCGAAGTTTTTTGGGCTTGTTTCTCGGCAAAACTTGTCGGTTCCTCCGGCGGCCGGCCCCCTTTTTCAATCCCCATCCCTCATGCTGAAGCTGTTTTGGGTTCAGGCTTTTCCTCCCTGAAATTGTCTGTGTCAAGACCGGATTCTAGGCTGACACTCCATTGGGTCTAGATCTCGTCCTTTCGGGGGAAGAGACGGGATGTCCAACATGCACACCCGCCCCCCCAACCGAAAAAATAATATATATATATATATATATTTAAAAAAAGAAAAAGCAAAAGTGGTGCTCCAAATGCTCATTTCCCGCAATGCGGGGAGAGAGGTGAGAGGGCGCCCAAAAAACACACCCCAAAAATGGGGTGTCAAAAAAGGGTTGTCTTTCAAACATGAATTCCACAAAAATCGTGGGAGATAGGACGCCCAAAAAGCATACCTCAAAAACAGGGTGTCACAAAAGGGTGGTGTTCCAAATGCCGATTTCCCACAATTTTTTGGGGAGAGAGTAGGCCCATTAAACATACCCCCCAAAAAAGGTCGCGCCTGTTAGCGGCCCCGCTGTTTTAAGGTTTTTTTCGACAGAAGCCCCACATGACTCGATGGCAGGCATGAGCCAACAACCATTGCCAGTGTCATATGGTAGCTACATGACTCCAAGACTCGTTTGTTGAAACTCCAATGTCTTTTAAGTGCTCATGCTCAAAAACCGAGTGGAAACTCCAGCGAGCGCTAATATGCCGCTGCGCAAGAGCAAGGTAAGACACCAATGGACACCTGCTAACTCGCAGGCGTGTGTGCAGCGCCAAGCGGGCTCAGGGCTCAGTCGAAACGGTGCGCTTACCAGGTGGCTAGCGTGTGTGTTTGTGTGCGCAGTGCAGTGCTGAGCGGGCTCAGTTGAACGGGTGTGCTTAGTGCTGAACGCGTGCGCGTGAGCGGGTGCGCTTACCACGTGGCTGGTGTGTGCGCAGCGCTGAGCGGGTGCACTGAGCGAGTGTACTTACCATGTGGCTGGCGTGTGTGCAGTGCTAAGGGGGCTCAGTTGAACGGGTGTGCAAAACCATGTGGCCAACCGTTTGTCAAAGGCATGGACATTTCCGGGAACCCTCCACCCTCGTAATTGGCCGGCCCTGGTTCATTCCAGGCGCCCTAACCATGAGGTCCGGCGCCTAGCCAGCTGAGCCCTCGTGGTGCAGCCCATAAGCGCAAAAGCACCTAGCGCACACGGCTGACGCGTGAGACTCCCCACTCTGCCACAGGAATCATGGCCTTCAGGAAAATTATCAGGAATCATGCCCTATGAAAAGACGGAAATACATTCTTCCAGGGTTCCGTTTGTTGATTCCCTCAACGAAAATCTAATCCCAGCAATTGGTTTCTCTGGGGAAAACTCCTGAGCATCGGGATCGCTCTGTTCCCGCCTTGCGAACGTGCCCGGATCCTCCCCGCTCGGGCCACAAGCTGGGCAGCGCGACGTCACTTCAACAAAACGCGATCGAATTGGACACGATTTCGATTTGGTTGGACCCAAAACATCCCACCTGGTCCGTCATATGGCTTGGCTTCCACCGTTCTTGAGAGCCTATTGCGCCAAGTGCTCTGACGCGAATCGACCATCCATGTTGCGTGCGAATGCGATTGCCTTGCCCTGCCAGAACTCAGGAAAGTGGGCTTGATGGAGTCAACAATCAATCATAAAGATGAAAGGCGCTAGGCTGCAGATTGCTGCAGGCCGGCATTGGTACACGAGCGCTACCATTTGCGCGCGCCTTTGAAGCTCTCAAGGCCAGGGGCGGGAGCATGTCTCCCAGACTTTGAGAGTGCAAAGCGCTTGAGGCTCTGTCTCTCTCAGCCAAATGGCCCCGTCAAATTCCACAACTCACTGCTACACCAGGGCCCGTGTGGCAAAACACTGGCTTCTCTTGTAGGACTTGCGTTGCAGCAAACCTTGAGAGAAATCAATTGAGGCCTATCCCCTGTTCCCCTGTTCCCCTGTTCAACGGTTCTCAAAAAAGAGAGATCGTTTTTCGAGGACCCTGGAAGCACCTGCTTAACTTGGTGCCCCGCCTCTCATTTCCGGATTTGGATGGCCTCACCTTGCGGCGGCATTTAGGTCGCCCTCGTAGGACTAGCTGTTTTCCATTTGGCTTCCCTTTCATGTCCTTTCAGTTTCTCTTAAAATGCACAATTGGGGGAACCTATTTTCAGCGAGGGTGGGTGCAAAGCGTGTCGCGCAATCATGCGTACGCTGTCATGCTGCTACGCTGTTGCTCTGTTACCCTGCCAGTCATTCCTCCACCCCACCCTGTCAATCAGCCTCACGCTGTCCAGCTTGTACTGTTTGCGCTGTCTATGATGTTTGCGCTACGCGCGTTGTTGCTGTGTGCACTGTTTCACGGGCACGCGCTGCTTACGATGCCGCTGCTTACGCTGCCTGCAGCAAAACGTGCAAGCGGCGGTGATGTGCAAAATGTACTCGGCACAGGCAGTGCAAATGGTGTAACGGTGTTTGAGCCCAAATTGTTGCGACTGTTTACGCCAGCGATATATGTTTGGAAACCTTTCGGCGCCACTGAAACTCAACATGCTCCCAACACCATGCCCGCTACCACGTTTCATAACAAACTCATGAGGGACGCCTCGCTTGAACTGCAAACAATGACTCAGCATTTCCGTTTCAATAGGAATGGCGCTGTGTGAGAATCCAGAGCATTTCACAACTTGACTGAAGGATTTTCAGCGTTTCACAACTTCACCTGTTTTGCCATTTCAGAGCACCAGTTCCAATGTGCTTGTGCCGGTCTGGACGGCATCAAACAAATGAATTCGGCACGACAACTCACCACTGTTCCCACTCGCATGCAACCACATGGCCTCCAGAGTACCAACTCACCAATTTTCATCCAATCCCGCCAGGCACGTGTGAGCATCCCGCAAGCACCTCCGTTTCCGCGCGGGCAATCGCAGACACAGTTTGCTCCTAGCTGCCTGCGCCAGAACGGAGCTTCACGGACACAACGCTCCTTTTGCAGCGCTGGCCTGCAGGGGGCTACGAGGATACAGGGAGTGAACAAGTCAGTCTGGGGTCGGGGGAGGCACGTGAGAAGAGCGTTTACCGGTATGAGAAAAAAAGGTTTCCGGACACTGCCGCAACCCTCACAAAGCAAGTGCCACGCGGCCACTGGCGACCTCACCTACCGTTCGAACAAACTGCCAAGCAAGTTTCGGGTTGTGATGGGGCGTAGACAACAAGATATCAACAAAACTCCACGGCAATTAACACGTGCTATCCAACGCACATCACGCACGTGTATGAATTTCAAAACCCATTCTGGGGAAAAACAATATGACCATTCCGATGACTGGTACGCACGCGCTATTCTGGGCCCGGCCGGACCGGATAAGTCACCATTCTCCCAAACAGGAGGTATCTCCGATTGCATGGGAGCCCTGGTCTAGTTTTTGAGGCTCCGGGCTTGCCAGGTTCTGAGCCACAGACTCCAGTACCTGATATCTGGGATTCTAACCAGATCAAAATCTCTAGGCCTGGGCCCATACACAATCAGCCTTTGAGCAATCTGTTGCTTGCAGCAAATGCGACGTGGACCCCCCTGCAAACCCCCCTCAAAATCACGGGGATCTTGAACTTCAGGAATTCCATTCCAACAATGGCAGCCTTATGGTTTCCCCGTCAATCCAAAAGGGCGTTCCAATGTTTGGATCATTGGAGTCCCAACGCCTCAATCTTTACGTGGAACCCCAAAATGGTTCGGCCCTCTCTCGCCATGCGCGCGTTTTTCTGATGGCCGGCTCGGCTCTTGGAGTCTCGAGGCCACGCACCGCCTTCGAGAATGGTGTAGTGGAAATCCTGCAGCTTCTGGATGCCCCCCTGAAACCTGCCAAACGCTCTGGAGAAGTGCAGGGCAGCCCTGAGACATTGATGGGGGTACTTCTGCAATGTTTATGCAGTCTCAGGAAACGTAGAGATGGTGAACGGGCAATCGTTTTGTCGGCAACGTGGCAAACGCAAACCAGACCACAAATGACTCCCAATAAAGCCTACAAGGGCCGGCACGTATTTGTCAACTGATGCCTATTGTTCACCCGCTTTTCGTTTTGGAAAAGCAAATCTGTAGCAGCTGCAGCATATTGCGTGTTGGTTTCACTTCACAATCCCCCCCCCCCGCCCGCCCGTCGGCCATTTTAGCACAGTTTTGAACTATCCCTGGTTTGGTGGCTTGCACTGGCAAAAGCAGCCTGTGCAACCATAAATTTGGCTTGCGCCCGCTGAGAGAGTGCCATTAAAACAAAAACCAAGATTCGGCATTGCTACGACTAGATCGGAAGAACCAAGCAGCTAGAGGTTGGAAGACTTGATTATTGCGAAAACGCCAAGGTGTTTACCTGCACAGAACAGACCAGGATGTGAAAACAATTCCTCTAAAAGGATCGATTACCTCTTAATACCCGTGAACACTTCTTGGGTTTGGTGAGACTTCGGGCACACGTGCAAGGAGCATGCCATGAGAACAAGCAATATCCTGCACAATTTGCCAAGCACAATTCTGTGAGAAACAATAGAATCTGGATTCACCAATTCAAAGAGAGCACACATGACAAGATTTTGACATTGAGAAGAAGACAGGAATTTAGAGAAATCGTGAAAAGCTGATAGAGTCGCGGATATCAAGCGCGACAAAAAAGAATGTGTGTTCACAGATGAGCCAAAGCAAGGTGAACGTGTCTGGAGCAGACCTCACAAACGCTTTTAAAAAACTTGAACGCTGCCCCCGGGTGTCCAAAAGAGCTGCGGATCTGGTTTTGTGTGTGCTTGAGGTTTTGCTGGTATCCCCGAAAAAGTGTTCAAGCGATTTAAAGCTCGCAGCGACAAAGAGCCAAGGGACCAAAATTGGGCGGAGTGCCTCAGCAATCTTGCTCCGTTGGTTCTTCATCCCTTGGGAGCTTCAAAGTGCTTCCTCCAACAAGGAAACCCTCGATCTTGCCCGTGGCGATAATCGACATGTGTCTAACGGCAAATCGGATACCCAGTGCCATTTGTATGCGCGTCGCAGAAGAAAAAACGAATCTTGGGAGATAAATCCAGATGCCCTTGGACGCTTGAGAAGCACTGGTTCATGCTGGTGAAACATAAATGAAGCACAAAGGCATGCCAGTCGCTGTTTACACTCATTTCAAGCCCCCTCCGTTTTCGCGGCCAAGATCCCTCAATGGACCATGTGCCGGTGTGCCCTTGAACTTGAGAGCCGCAACTTGGGCAAACCGTAGAACTGTTTAGGCTACTGCAAAAAAGCTGTGTTTTTCATAGTTTTTTAGCTCTCTCGACAATAAAAACAGAAACTTGGCAAAACATATTCCGTTTTGATATGCCTTCTTGCAAACATAGTTCAAAATATGCAAAGTAGCAAAAACCCAGTATTTTTGCATTTTTCAGGCGCTACTGCTAAAAGTAGTAAAAAACGCATGTTTTCCGGCATTTTGAGCAATTTCCAAGCTGTGAACAGTATTATATTCTCAAACAAACAAACTCGAGGAAAACAAAAATACTCGAGAAAACCAACTAAACAAAAAAATGAGCCAAACCCAAGATTCCTCAGAATTTGTTCGTTCTTTGGTTTCTTGGTTTTCTCGTTTTTGTTGCTTTTCCTCGATTTTTTTCGGTTTGAAGGCCAAAACCAAAAGGCCTTGGGTTTTTGGTTTTGTAAAAAACCGAACAACTTGAGGAAACCCCCCGAAACAAAAAAACTCGAGAAAACCACAAAGACAACAATTTGAGCCAAACCAAAGTTCTCCTCAGAATGTGGAAAGGACATCATACTTAAAATCTAAACCAACATGAACATTCAACTTCAATTACGTCCTTCTTTAGTTTTGTCAGGCTTCTAATTAAATATTTATTCAAGTCTCAGCAAACATGAGCTCACATAGCACACCATGCTTGAATTATTCCCTTGCTCTTTTCATGGAAAGGATTCCTTTTTAGATTCTAATTGAAGATCGAACGTACCATGGACTCTTTTTTTATTGAACTCTATGTCTATTCTACTAGTTAAAACTGATTGAATGCCGGAAGGAATTTCCGTTTACGTTATCATAAAAATGGGACAATGTAATTGAATGATTTGCTGTTTACAGTCCATTTAAGTTCTAACTGCGCTTCAATCATAATCCAATTTGGCAAAAGGAGCCTTATAAGGAGCCTTATACGGAGTTTGGAAGTTTAAGGAGCTTTACCTGGGGTGACTCTGATGGCTGCGCTACTCCAATATTCACACACAGCCTGTGTGTATTCAAACCGAGTGAACCCTTACCCTTCAAATAAGCAGAACTGTTGCCCTTCAGATACGTCGAACAATTCACCTTGAGACATTGCCCTTCAGATAAGCAGAATAGTTGCCCTTCGGACAGGTGGAATTATTGACTTTGAGACATTGCAACAGCACCCAAAAGGTAGTTAAGGGGGGCGTGACCATATGTACAAATCTCCACCGACCCCTCTATCACAAGGGGTCGGAAGTTGTACAGCTGGTGACGCTAGCGATGTCGCCGCTATAGCTTATACTCTTCTTATACAGGGCACGTTGCTGCATCCGATTTCTTCTCTATCCGTGCCTAGGACCTTTTAAGGCTTGCTTTTTCGGGGCCCCCCGACTTACCAGGGGGGTGTTGCTGCTGTATCCGCTTTCTTTTCTGTATAGGATCCCAAAGTAACGTTAGGTGTTTGGGCCATGTGGAGCACGAAACCTGAGCCCCCGAGGCTCGCGTACCAGCGGCCTTGCTGGCGCTGCTGTTGCGGCTGTATCCGGTTAGGCACTGCTGGGCTTGTATTGGGGCACTTTTCGGCTCAAAACCTGGGCATCCGATTTCTTGTCTAGATTGAAAAAGCGACATCATAATAGGTACTACCGCACACTGAAAAACACAACGTGTCTGGAAGCGAGAGGCGCTTCCCCACGCATGGAAAAAACCGTGAAGCAAACCGAAAGGCGCTTCAAAAAGCATGGGCGCTGCTACGTGTACCAAAAATTAATACGAACACAATGGCTTCTGTCACGTATCGCAACAAAAACGCATGTTAAACCGAAAGGCGCTTCCTAAAAACTTGGGCTCCGCCACGTTTAAAAAAACGCGTGTTGAGCCGAAAATGTGATTCCCAAACTTTGGGCGCTGCCACGATAAGAAATCACGTGCGTTAAGCCCAAAGGCGCTTCCTAGACTTTGAGTACGCTGCCAAGCCTTGAAAAAACAACATAGTTGGCAACACGTGTTAAACGTGGGAACATGGGTGCTGCCACGTTTCAACAAGCAAAACATGTGTTGAAAAAGAACGGCGCTTCCCGCACGACGGGCGCTGCCCCGACTTGAAAAAACTAAGCCGCAAAGAGCTTCCCGAAACATAGGCCTCTTCATGTTTCACGAAAAAAGCGCTTCGCAAAACACGGGCGCTGCCCCGGTTGGAAAAACACTTTTGTTGATCCAACAGGCGCTTCCCGAAACCTTGATGCTGCCACGTTTTGCAAAAGTAAAAAAGTCTGGAACCAAGCGACGCTTCCCAAAACACAAGTGCTGCTACGACTGAAGAAGACACATTCAACAGAAAAATGCACTCCCCAAAAAATGTGGGCGCTCAAAAGTATCCAATCTTAGGTTCTGCCATGTTTTGTGTTGTGCGCGCATATATCCGTGTGTGTATGTGTGTGTGGGTATGTAGGTATGCCTGTAAGCGCTGTCTGTGTGTATGTATGTGATGTGCTTATTTGTAATGTAATGTAATGTAAGGTAAGGTAAGGTCAGGTAAGGTAAAGGAATGCAAAACATGTATCTGTGTGCCTGCGTGTGTGTATGTATGTATAAGTAGGTATGTATGTATGTGTGTATGTGTCTATGTATGTACTTCTGTAGGTGTGTATGTACCTATGTGTGTGTGCTGTGTGTGTGCCAGCTGTGCAATGTATGTCCCTTTTGAGGCCTGCCTTTCGGAGCCCCTGCAGCTCGCTTATGCAGGACGCAAGAAACCTGCTCGCGTCTAGGCCCAAGCAGGCTCGGCAGCTACGGCTTTGACGTCGATGACTTCCGGTCTCAGCCACCTTCACAATGACTTCTGGGAAAAGTTGACACGTCTAGTGGACATTGAACCCGCAGAAGACATATACCGGGTGTTAGGCAGAAGGGGCATGGCGCTCGACGTGCGAGATTATTCTCGGCAAGCGGTTGCGTTATATCTTGAGGTTGCACTGTTAAAGACCGAAAAGTTGCGAGATGCCACCACTCCATTCTGTCCCGCAGGTTCTTTAGATCCCGCAGACAACGCGTTGGAGGGTGAGCTTGGTTTCGCCGCACGCGGCGTGCTGATGAAGGCTTTCTGGTTAGGACGACTAGCACGTCCGGACTTAGTCAAGCCGATTGGGGACCTTGCTTCCAATGTGCAGAAGTGGTCTAGGAATTGTGATCAACAATTGCATGGGCTTGTCTGTTACATTAATAGCACGGTGAACAGTACCCTTGTTGGCACAGTGCAGGATTCGACTGATGAACCGCATCTTTCTCTTTATGTGGACGCAGACTTCGCAGGAGAAACAGATGCAAAATCAACATCCGGTGGTTTCTTGGTGTTGAGTGGCCCTCATACACACTTTCCTCTCGCGTGGGTGTCGAAACGTCAGACTTCGGTTTCTCGTTCCAGTACGGAGGCGGAAATAGTCCCTTGCGTACTCCCTGTACCAGGAGGCACTACCTGCACTCAGCCTTTGGGAGCTGATCCTAGATAGGCCAAATCACCTTAAAGTCCATGAGGATAATCACACGACCATCCTGGTAGCAAAGAAGGGGGTTTCTGACCCAAGCTACGTTGTGTGCAACGCACGCACAAGGTAAACCT